TATAGCGCGCATCAAGCACAAATCCCTACTTCGTTTGAGTATTCGGAAAGAATCTACCGGTGCACTCACGGTGTATCCCAAAAATCAAGGTCCAAGGGGCATCGCAATCGAAAGCAGCGGTACTGCAAATGCACAGCACGGTTAACGGCCACCGTGAGTCGCGTTTCGGGCAATCACTACGAAATCGTGCTACGAAACCAGGCTCGAGACTTATTATTAATGTGTGCGTGATAAAGAATCCAGCTGACATCTATAAACTTGTTGCTGTTTCAGAACCATACCCACTCGCACGACAACAGCAGAACACAAGCTTCAAGCTACTTGACAACGGCGACGCTGCCGCTGGACGAACAAGATCTGGAGGATGTGAAAACATTGGCAGATGCGCGTGTTTCTTCTACCCACATCACCAATTTCTTGAACGACCGCATTGGTTAGTTGTTCATTTTTTATTATGGGTGGTATTATTCAATCTAACCGACTGGTATGCAATGTCTTACGCTGTAAAGATTGTAAAGTGACACCACAGCAAACCAGAAATCTTCTCCGGAGTATCATGGGGCCAGATTCCGCTCAGGATCGTATGAAAGACTTGCTGCATGCTCTTCGACAGATTGAAGGTAGCGATGTGCTCGTTATCCAGGACCAGATGGACATCACCTGTGGAGCCATCATCAAAAAAACGAAAGTGCAAAAGATGATGTTTGAGCGGTGGGGTGAAACCTTGACGATGGACTTCACGCACGGAACGAACAATCTTGGCTACCATTTAAGTACGTTCAGAAAAGCAACCTTATGTGTATAGCAACCTTAAGCGCAAACTTAATTTTTGACAACAACCTTGAATCTCATTTGGTTGCTACTGTTGTGTAGGGAGCTTGGTTGTCACTATGTGTACGGGTAGAGGGTTCCCAGTGGTTGACTTTATTTGCCTCAGTGAGAACGCTGTCACGATTAAAACGATCTTGGAATATTTCAAGGACAAAAATCCAAAGTGGAAAGACGTCACGAGTGTGGTTATCGACAAAGATTTTGTAGAGTGGCAAGTGCTGGAGGAGTGCTTTCCAACCGCCCAGGTGCTACTCTGTCAATTCCACGCCATTACATACTGGAAAAAAGTGATGAAACGCAAAGTATTTGAGCTCAAGATGGCACAGAGAGAAGAACTTATCGAGCTGCTGACGAAGATGCTGTATTGGTGCGTTACAGTCAGCAAATTTCTCTTTTGCCTTTTCACTCATTTGTTGTGGTTACTGGCAGCCGCACACAAGACGCGTATGTATCTGCATATGATGCAATGAAGAAATACTGCAAAAAGTCAAGGAGGAGCAACTTCTTTGCGTATTTTGAGAAAAATTGGCATTCGTGTCGACAAATGTGGTCGAACTATGAACGTGAAAAAACATTTTACTGCTGGTAATACGACAACTAACAGGATCGAGTGTAATTGGAAATACTTGAAGATGCTTCTTGGCCTCAAGATCAGAATTGACAAGACGTTGGCGGGTTTACTCCAGCACCAGATGATCATCACGCGGCAGATTACATCTGAAATCGGGAAACAGCATTCTTCCTCTCGATTGCCCAAGACGGTTCCTACATTTTTAAGGGCCATATCAAGGAGGCTCTCTCCGTTTGTGTTGGAACTGGTGAAAAGAGAATGGGAAAAATTCGTGAACCGAGCTGAAAGCACAAATTGCGAGCGCAAAGTATCCGTTTCAAAATGAGATGTTTATGGAGGTCATCACAAATACGAGTGTGACGACGTTGAGTGGACCTGTACCTGCTTATTTTATACAAGCCACCACTTACCGTGCTGTCATCTCATGCATGTTGCCAGCCATGGCCATGGTTTCAATGTGCTACCTGGAATCTCTGTCCACGAACGATGGAGTACTTTCGACGCGTTGGACACCAAAGAAGAGCTCTGTTTAGCAGCCGATGCGCTTCAACCAATTGTCGATATGTCAAAGTTAAGGTTGCCAAGACCGATAAGGTTGCCGAACGTGTACGAAGATTCACGTCCTTTCGAATGGAAACAATCACATGAGGCATCCGATAGTGAGAAAGAGGTTGTATTTGTTCGATTGCGCCGAGACGAACGTGCAAACCAAGTTGTGCTGACATCTGGTGAACAGTACTCTTACGCAAAGGCAATGCTAGAGCCACTGCTTCAGCATCTGTCCGAATTGGCCAGTGCTGATTTTTATCGAGAACTTCAAGGTTGGAAAGAAACCGTTGAAGTTGGATTACGAGGGAGGAAAGTGGCTTCGACTCCGTGTAAAGACAACAACAACGATGGAGACGTTGATGAAGACATGGATTCTTTGTTTGATTTTGAAAATGCAGTGGTCACTGCTAGTATTATGGAGGGGCTACAAAATATGGATGCCAGCACTGACGGTAGCAGCGACTGTGAGGACGTCCCATCAACGCAGAAAGCTATAGAAATGTCACGGAAGCCCATAATCGTGAGCAAGGCACAATCGCCGGTGTCCATCACAGATGAAGCTAATAACAAGAATGCAGATGATTACGAGAATGCAGTTGATTACAAGAAAGTCGAAAATTGTGAGGCTGGTGAATCTGCTGTACATCCAACTACCGACCCAGCGATGCCTACGCGGCAAGTGGATATCATAAACGTCCCAAAGCCGAAGACCCGAGGGAGACAACGATCAAATCCGAAGCAGCTAAGACAGACAAAGCTTACCTCAGTTCATACTCGTCTCGCCGTGCATAAATACCCTAGCGATCTTACCGTACAGCTTGACGAGTTTGTCGTTTAGGCTCGCAACACAGAGAATGTCAGAGCTGTGGCGGGCATGATAGACAAATACCCTGTCCAACTAGACGATGCGTACCTCAGGGGTCGCACAATCGAATGCAGCTGGGAAGCTGTACGACCAGCTACGTACATGCACCCATTTGTAATCCCTGGAGACATCACGCGGTCAATGCAAGCTTCAATCAAGACAGCTAAGTCCGAGCAACGTCACCCAGATCCACTCGACGACCGCATCAAGAAACAAGGAATCGTGCTCGATCTCGTGGCTTCTATCGACCCCAAACTTTGGAAATTCAGCGGGTAAGGTTGCCATTCTCGTATGGTTGCTTTTTATGGTCGTCATATTGTGGTTGCTATAACTGTGAGCTGTAATTTGTACTAGACAATACGTGGGAGCTGCAATTACATTCTACGCGGTAAAGGCCAAGGTACAAGCATGGTTCGAAGATCGGAAATGGTTGGAGAAAAACTGGCGGAAGGTAAACTTCGATGTGGATCTATTTGCTGTGGAGACTGAAACGAGTGGGCTATCAGCTGATGCTGTAAAGGAGCGACACTGCACCATGGCAAACGAGGTGATTTCAAAGTTTGCATCCAGTCGACTGAGTTCTGAATACACGACACGGTCGGGTAAGGCCTGCATCGCCTTCGAAAACGTTGTTGGTGGACTCTGTAGAGGATGGCTGAATGATAGCCCAATTGACTTCTTTTTGGAATTCATTGGAAGCACGATGCGGGATTGCTACGTCCTGTCATCATTGACGGCAGCTGTTGGATGGCCAAAGACACCAAACACGCGTATCACTTCTACCAAGTTCATGATTCAACCTGTCAACCTGAACCAAAGCCACTGGGGTATCATAATAACTACGTTACGCTACGTTGAAGCCAAGGACACATTACATGTGCATCCCTACCTGTATGAGCCCCATGGGGACATGGAGGTGGTTTGGAACGGTGTTAAGGACGGCGATGGTAACTCAGTTATGAAAGGGCTTTGTGGTTTTGTGGCGAGATGGAGTAAGACATCGGCACCTGCGGCAAAATTATGCATAGACCCTATTGAGTGGATTGAAGTTCCACAGCAACCCGACTACTCAAGCTGTGGCGTGTTTGTTGTGGCCCAAGCTTACAGCTATGTGACCGCGAATCTTCGCTGGCAATGCAGAAACGTTTCCAAGAGTGATGTGGAAGCTATGCGGCTCCGAATGCTGTGGATAATACTCTGTAAATCGAGCAAGAGCCGTATGGTTCGTCGCACTGTGGATAATACGAAGTCTATTAATGAGAAACTGCTCAAGCAACTGAAGTAGGTAGATGTAGCTGTGTTATCCGTTAATACAAAAACCGCTAGCATACTACCATACTACCCATTTAATCTGTTGACTGCCATTTCTAGCAAAGCTCCGAAGGATAGGTGCCCGTCTTGACTCGCACCAGAATTGGCAATCTCAGACGCCAGCACGTAGATGCTCTCCTCGCTCACCTCAATGCGTGACAGTAACTCCATCTGAGCTATTAGTATCTTCTCGAGGCTTGCGCCGATCTTTTCAAGCGTTTTCTTCATGTCCATGAGCTCGTAGATGCGCGCGCGCACCAGCTCCCGAGCGAGCGACCTTCCGTCCATCCTTGCTGCGATGTTGGATCCTTGAAATATTTGCTAAGTGTGAAAAAATGTGTTCCACACAGTGTAGTGTAAGAAACACACCCAGGTGTGGTGCACACGCATTTAATGCTGTTTCAATAACTCTAAATTTAGGATGTTGTGGCGTTATTTACACTGCTATTGATGACGGCGACGACGTGGCCACGTCATTTATTAAAAATTACCAGAGACCATATGTTTTTGTGGTCGCTTTAGGCGATAAGGTTGCATTATTTCCTGTCGTCTTGTCGTATTGTGGTTGCAGTAACGCCTCTCGACTCTGGGTGGACCGCAAACGCAAGGACGGTGCGTTCTTGTGAATGTACCATTTTGAAGGTACACCTGGCTGCACAGCAAAAATACCCTTAGCTAGGAATAATATGCAACAGAGGACATGTACACACGATCAGCTGTTAATATTAAAAGTTTATTATTTTGTAGAAAAATGTGTTGTCCACACGCAGGGAAACACTGGGCTAACCGTACGCCAGACAATTTCCCGCCTCTCGAGCCACACCCACACTCAGGCGTACGAGCCGTTAGGATAGCTCCTGGCACGGGGGCCGCATGCTATTTCACTGCGCAGTGCTAGCTATTGCTGCCTTGTCCACTATCGATTTGGCCGTAGTTTCCGAGCCGACAAGTATTAATATCGCAAACGCGAAAACTACTTTTAACAAGCGATCTCTCTTACATTTCGACAGTGATAAGACTGGAGGGCCACCTAATCGATTACTGAGGGCTGCCAACACAATTGGCAACGGTAAAGAGAACTCGGACGTCGACGAGAAGAATGAGGCAAGAGGAGGTCTGCCTGGTCTACTGCAGATAGAGGGATTGGGTGCGACTGTGTCAAAAGCGAAAATCCCGCAGCAGTTCAAAGATTGGCTCAGGTACTCGTTCACCATGGAAGAGACATTCAAGCTATTAAAGCTTGATGACGAGCTATCGGCGCTTCTAGCAAATCCAAAATTGGGAGTGTGGATTCAGTACGGTCGGCTCGTGGGGGAAGAGAATAAGCTTGCAAGCTCACCGGTCATCACGGAGCTGACCAAGCGGTACGGGGTTGCTCAGCTGTCCGAGTCGATCCAGGCTGCAAAGCAGTCTGTGTGGACAAGAAAGATCGCGCAAGAGCTAGAGGACCTGCAATTAAAGCGATGGCTAGACGCTAAGACAGATCCAACCATTGTGTTTGTCCAGCTAGGTCTGAAAGTGTCGAAGCCGGTCCTCGAGAAAAGTCCGAACAAGCTGGTTATTGCCAGATACATTAAGATGTACAACGAGCTTTATCCGAAAATATGAGAGTGACTCTTATTGTTACTTTGATAAAAACACGCAACAGAGTGCTGTACATAGAAAAAAAAACTAATGTAGTGACCCTTTTAATGTCAAAATTCATGGCTGCTAATAAACAACCGGTACATATACATGTATTTTGCTCAACTCAAACGGAACGAAGTGAAAAATAACGCATTGATTTAAAATTAATGTTGTGCTGAGCAGTCCAGGACTAAAAGCTTATCTTGCTCCAATAAACTTAATACGTAAGCTACGTTGCAAGTGACACTGCTAAGGTGCCCTTAAGTACCTGCTGATGGCTTAGGCCCGCTGTGAATAATGTTTGGCCAAATTAGCTCTCGGCTGGGTGCATACACCTCAAGCAATATAGGTCAAAGAGAAGTCGACGTTATTGTTGACAGGCTACCAGACAGCCAGCACTACGACCTTGCCAAACGCCCTACGCTACAGGTAGTTTGTCACAAGCTAGTAAAGGTATCAACCATGTTTATCTCATCTCCTTATTTATCGTGAATCGTTCGGGTCGCTAACGGGTCAGTCGTGAAATATTTGACGTTTATTGGGTCACTTGTGCTAATTATCCGTTGATTTCAATAGAGAAACTCGTTTACGCAGCAAAGCCGACGAGACAGCCTAATTCTAAGGTAGTCCACGCAGTTTTAAACTTCACGACATGTCTAAGCAATCTTTAGACACGACCGCGTATTAAAAGGTGCTTCAAACATACACGCAGAATTGCTACATGAATTTACAAATTATGTACTATACGGGCTGGGCCAAAAAGAAAAGACAATTCATCATAATTCGTCCACCAATGTACTGTACAAGTAATTAAAACGGAAGCTTCTGGTACAAAAGTTTCAAAAGGCTGTTCGGCTTGTATCTGCATCTACCGCGCTCTTCAAACTTCGTCAGTTGGTAATCAAGCGCAGAAAACGTTTGTGTCGCGTTGTCTTCTTCAGGTTTGGTATGATGGGACGAGTAAACCTGCGCGGCGGCCTCGGTGGCTGAACTTTCGGCCATAACTTGTAGAATACTTTTTGCCACATGGACATGTTTTCCGTGCCCGCTTTAGGTGTAAACAATGCTCTCTCTTCTGATTCATCGCTATTGTCCATTCCCGTTTTGCTGCTTTCCGCTGGGTCGTGTTTGTGGCTCTGGTGTTCCTCGCCTTCTTCGACAAATAATTTTTCATTGAAATCAACATTCGTCTGGGCATTGGCGGTGGTGGCAGTGATTGTTGGAAGCACGAGGTCGCATGTAAGAACGACCAAAAATAAAAAAGTAAATATACGTGAGCGCATTTTGTTGGCGAATAATTGTGAAGTGTCTTGGTAACGAGGGAAGAGATTGGAAACTGACTGAGGAAGCTCATTGACATCGAGGACATCCGTTCATGATTACGGGGTTTGGCATGCATCATAATAATTTATTCAACTGATCGTTTCAGTCTTACAGTGTGAAACAATTATGGTACAGTGTAAGTTACACTGTACCAGAATTGTTTAAGTTACACTGTACCAGAATTGTTTTACACGAGCAGATTCAGATAAACGAAGCTTGTATTCACAGACAAGAAACAGCACTCGCACTACGGTACTGAGCACCAGGTACATGTATTCCAAGCTTAGATACTACATGTATCTATTTCAATATTTTGATCGGGTAACAAGAAACGAATTTTTATTAACAGCAATCTTGTTGCTCGCGCATCTCGCCTGAAACCCCGATTTCTTAACTACTGCTAAAATCAGTGCACATGTAATCAAACAAATACCCATGTCGCAATTGAACACATGGGGATATTGGGTGGTTCCTGAAATAATAAATTTTACGTGTATCAAATGTGGGTCGAAAGTGATGTGTTCCTACTGGTATCGGAGAGCCTGTTAGCCTTTAAAAGAGCAACAGAATGCGGTTCTATAGTCTTAGGGACTGTTGAAATATGCTTGAACCTTGAAAACAATATCATTCCGACCACACTGTTCTGTAACATTCTACCGTGATATTTGTAATAATTGTTAACATTTTGAAAAGCATCGCAACACGTCCAGCATGCAGTGCTCTGTAGCGCTGACCCTGCTCATCTTGTTGTTCGTCTTCGAGGCTACAAGCCAGCTCCCCCACTCTGCATCACCCTTTGCAGTGCTGTCTCAACCCCACGCCAATAGTAACACTGAACAAGTGGTGGATGTCATCGTAATTGGTGCCACGGGGGATTTGGCCACAAAGTATCTGTGGGTAGCGATGTTCCGCATGGCGTTAGAAGGCAAAATGGTCTCCAGACGCACATTCCGACTCTTTGCGGGTGCGTCGGATACTTTGGAGCGAGGCAGGATCTGGCACGAGAATTTTTTCAATGAGAAGTTCGCCGAGAGAGTATGCGGCGTCTTCGAGGACAAGATGTCGGCCGAGCAGGTCTACTGTCGTGAGTTTCTAGAGATGGAATTCAAACCTAATGTGCAATATGCTCCCTTGCGATCGGAGAGTCATTATAAGGAGCTGGGGAGGATTTTACAGGAGGAAGATAATTTGACGAAGGGCGGACGGATAGTGTATCTTGCTATCCCGCCACAATTTTTCCTTCCGGTATGTTCCACAAATTGTTACATTGCGATCGGTACTGGCAGTGTTGGTTAACTGCACATAGTGTTGTGAAATGATTCATCGTTACCTACGACCAAATCGGTCCGAGACTCAAACTGCTTCTCCGTTTCTGCGTGTTGTGGTGGAGAAACCTTTTGGTCGAGATCTCCAATCTGCGCATGAACTTGCTACACGTCTACGAGCCATTTACAGCGTACACGCACCTCTTGAGAGTGTTACCGAACAATTGGGACCTCTTTTCCTAACCTAACTGTCTTTGTGGCTCTAGAATGACGAGCTGTTTGTGATGGATCACTACGCAGGCAAGCCAGTTGTGCAAGCGCTTCGCAGCTACTTGCAGCTTAACACTGCTACGCTGAATCCGATTTGGAACTCAAATAACATTCAGGATATCCACGTACGTGGCGTATTGCTCTGCGTATGGTGAAGTCTTAACTCGATTCCTCATTCGACAGATCGAGATGACCGAAACAGCAACACTACAGCACCGCGTGAGCTATTTTGACAGGTAAATACGACCCCCATGGTTCTACTATTCGCTGCCTCTTTGACCTGGTTTTTGTTGCAGTTCTGGTATTATCCGTGACGTCATGGTGAACCACTTGCAGCTACTGCTCAATGTTGCTGTAGCTCCATCCTTTGATGCGGCAATTTCCATCCATGAAGCCCAATTGCGCTTCATCAGGTCACTACGAGTCTCCAGTCGACAATCTCTATTTATCGCGCAGTATGACGAATACGCTGCACATTACGAAGCCGAGATGAGTCAACGCAGCGATGAGAGCGACAACTTCACACCGACAGCTGCCTGGATTGAGCTCACAAGCTCGTTAGACGAATGGAGAGACACCAGCTTTCGTCTTGCTGCAGCCAAGGCCACAGCAGAGCGGCAACTGTCCATCACTGTAGCCTTCAACAGTGGCGTATTTCAAGACCAACAGTGCACTCTCACTGTAATTATCCAGCGAGCACTCAACGTCGACGCAAGCGAGGCCCACAGAATCGAATGGTCTTGTGACGTTAGCGAAGTGCTTCCAGATCTCCAACTCCCAAAAGGCTGGAAGTACGTGGAGGCTGACGACCATCGTGTCGTTATTCCCCAGAGATCTGAGCACGCTACTGCGGCATGGGAGCTGGGTGACGAGGCTTCAGCGTACGATTTCTTGCTGCGTGAAATCGCAAATGGCGCCACTGAACACTTTGCGGATCTAGACGAAGTGGAAGCTGCGTGGACACTGTGGACTCCAGTGGTCCATGCAGCTGAAGCCGCCTCAAATCGAGACAATCACGCGTCGTATCCAGCTGGAACGTCTCCGTGGAAGTCGGAATCCTTATCAACAAAGACATCTCAAGAGGTTAAAGAAGAGCTGTAATCGCTCTTGTAACTTGAGGACGAGATAGCACAATAATTGCAAGTCGACATAAGGTTAAGTGTAAAATTTCGAGAGTATGCGTGGTGTCCCTACCTCTATTTACGCTCAGGCATTCAGTGTGCCAATTGCCACTGCAGTGATGACGAAGGTGAGAGCCAAGAAGCAGCTAGCGAACGGAACTGAGCTCACAATTGGCTCGGTGAACTCGGTGATCGCCGCGCCCGGGAAGCCCCACACTTGCTGGCAGTAGCGACTACCGATGACCTGGAACCAGCACGGGATCGTGAGTCCCAGTAGGAAACCGAACAGTCCTGCAATAGCGAAGATGAAGTCCAGACGCTTGAAGACGACAGCGAAGAGAATGGGAGGCACAGCGACCGACAGTCGGCACAGACTGCGCGTGAGTTTCTCACCGAATCGATCCGTGAGATGCGACGGGAAGGACATGAGCATGTTGTCGCCCACAGTGACGCCCACCATCGGGTACGCCGACACGACGTTGATGACGGGGAAGAGCAGGATCACGAGCTGCACGACGACCCCCACAGGGTTCGCGTGGTCGCATTCTCCCCACCCATTGCCACAGCCAGTGTACGAGCTCCACATGAGCGTTGCTAGAGGGTTAATCTTGTCGAATGAGAGCGCACCAAGCAGACCCACAAGCAGGTAACACGTCCCGGCAATCAAAAGTGTGGCAAATACCACGAAACGCGCCTTGGACTTGGGAGTCAGAGGCTGTAGAGCGTCTGGCATGTTGTATTGGCAGTTTAGAGCCAGCAGGGTGGGGCCAAACGCTTTGCCAAAGTTGCCCCAGTTGACAGCTCCAATCGCAGCATAGCGAGACGCCACCGCTTCGCTCCCGTCGCTCGCCACTTTGATTGTCATAGTGATGAACATGAGTGCGAAGGCCACTATACGGTATACAGAGAGGAATTTCTGTACTAGCGCTTGATCGCTGATGTCCATGAGCACCATAGACAGCACGATAGCTGAGAAGATAGCCATGAATACGTAATATCCCTCCAAACAACCCGAGGAGACGTCGTCGCCGTATACGTCACAAGACTCGCCTAACACGTACGTGAAGAAGAGAGAGGCTGTAGATGACGAGAAGACAGAGGCGTACGACCAGAGCGAGCCGATGCAGTACGAGCCCATGACCAGCTGCACCGCCGCTTTGCCCAGTCTCCCCACGAACATTTCGGCGATTGTAGCGAACTCGAATTTGCGGTACGTGATCTCGTGACGCGGGGCGCCACCGCCTGTGGCTGCGCACACTCCTTCTGCGCGTGCGAGGGACTCGAGTGTGTAGTTCATAGTGAGTAGAGAGCCCAAGACGCCCACGATCATGAGTACGAGTGCCAGTACGATGCCACCTTCCATGAACGCGTACGGAAGACCGAAGCAGCCGGTGCCGATCACGTAGTTGAGCGCCATGGCCAGCGTCACGGCCGGTCCGTAGGGCTTGACGCTCATGTGGCCATTCTCCCATGAGCCGCTGAGGCTGCGCGTCAGCAGGTGCGTACGCTCGGTGGTCGCCATGACCGTAGAGGAGACTTTGTCGGAATGACCGCTCGTTCACGAAGATACGTCACTGACCCTGCGAAAGATGATTAACTGATTCAGCGGTGGACACAGGAGGATTGCGAGCTAACCGCCCAATTGCTGTGAAGCATGTTGGCCAGCCAACGGCTACAATGTAGCCTACTGTTCAAGTACATGTATTGAAGTGAGAAGCGTGGAGCGCAAAACTCCTGGTAAGGTACACTTTCAATTGCCGAACAAAGACTGACAGCGTGTGGCGTTGTGTCCGAGTCGGAAAGAAATCAGATCCAGCTCCGTCGGAGTCCGACGGAGCTGGTACTGATTTCCTTGTGCGTCAAGCCGTTGCTTACTGTATCCGGATGGTGCAGGAATGCAAAGCCCTTTAGACACTTTTGGGTTGAACGCGAACATTGAGGTGTATCACAGGATAACTCCAGACGCTGGAGTCCAGAGTGCGGTCGACTAACTGCTGGAGCGTCAACGTCGTCGACATCGACGAACAGATCTAGTGTCATCAGGGAGAATCTGGTACGTACTACTTGTTGGCCCATTGCGTGAAGTGGAAACAGGTCACAGTGCGATGAACACGGGCGACAGAGTGGCTCCAGCACTAGCGACATCAACGGGAGCGACGTGGGTATTTCGACGTGAGCGATGAGAAGGCTTGGGCAGGCGGCTCGGGCAAAGGGGGCGGCCCATCTGCATGTAGTGTCAGTTAGTTTTGCATTTTAAGGACCCACCAGCTCAATCACTTTCCATAACACCACGACGAGCACAAGCGCCTTTCCGCCTCTCCGCAACCCTCCTTCCTCCAAGTGTCAACTTCCGACATGTTATGACGACCGCAACTACGGCCACGGCGTTCACGACGAAGCTGAAGCAGTTCAACGGTACTGGGTTCCCAGCATGGGGCGCCCAGGTGAAGCTGGTCCTCGGGATCAAGGGACTCTGGGCTGACGTCGAGAAGGATGCACCACCGGCTGACAGGCTTGCAGCGGAGGCTGAAGCGCTGAAGATGTACAATGCGGCTGCCGCCACTGGAACGTCCGGAACGGTGGTTTCGAGAACACCACTACATGAACAAGTCATGCGGCTGAAGATGACGTCATCGATCATCCTGTCGGCGCTGACGGAGAAACTGGCAGCGGAGGTGTATCTGTTTGACCACCTGCTGGCCATGCTGCGCCACCTGCGGCTGACCTACAACGTGAAGTGTAGTGCCGGCGTCGGTGCTGCGAAACGAGAGTACATGAGTCTGTACCTCGCTGATGGTGACTCCATGACGGAGCTCATCAAGACCACTAAGAGGGTGATTGGGGACCTCCAAGAGCAGCGTGTGTACTTGGCGGACGAAGAGAAGCGTCAGAACTTCATGCAGAGTCTGGGACCTGCGTGCAACGGTTTTGTCGACGTTCTCGAGATGTGCCAGCCATTCGAGGCGATGGTGACGCGCTGCCAAACTGAGGCAATTCCTCGAGACCAGCAGTAGAATCGTCGCTCGACGAATGGCAGTGGTAAGTTGAATGCGTCGAATGGAGCCTTCTCTGCTGAAGAAGTGGCTGGCAAGAAGGGGAAGAAGAAACGTGACATGACCAAGGTCAAGTGTTACAACTGCCAAGAAATGGGGCACTTCGCGCGAGACTGCTCGAAGAAGCGAGTGCCACCGAAGGGCAAGGGCGGCGCGGCCGCTAGTGTGGCGTTCTCGGTCCCGACGAGTGCAAGCGAGAGTGAATCGTGGACAGCGGGGCCACGAGCCACATGACAGGACATGCTGACAACTTGGTGGGGGTGCGTGAGCTGGCAGAGCCTCGTGTGCTCACAGTTGCGTCCGGTGACAGCTTGGTGGCGACCGCCATGGGGCAAGCACAACTGTACAAGAACGGGAAAGAGGTCAGCGTCCTACAAGATGTCCTATTTGTGAAGGGACTAGCCTGCAACCTCGTGTCTGTTGGGGCGGCATCGCGTCGCGGGATGACGGTGGAGTTTAAGGGAGTTGGTTGCGCTATTCGCGCGTCGAATGAAGTGACCATACAAGCATCGAGAGAGCTCAACCAAATGTATGTTCTGGATCTGCCAGCAAGCCCGTCGAAGATGTCGCGATGATGACGAGCGAAGCACCTCATGTGGAGACGTGGCATCGCGGCGTTAGACACTTAAATATGCAAAGTGCTCAACAGCTACCGGGAGAGCTGAGAGTACCATGGAAAGGTGCTGTGAAGCAAGCGTGCCCGACGTGCGTGAGTAGCAAGCTGTCACATAAGCCATTTGCCGCAAAGGACAAGTGCGTCCTCAAGAAAAACCAGATTCTGCTCGCAATCGACTACGTGGGGCCAATGCAGGTGACGTCTCGTGAAGGTTTTACTGGTATGGCGAACGTTGTTGTGGAGCCATTTCATCTGGACATGGTGTATCCACTTTGTGAGAAGAGCTCTCAAGCTCAACTGGATGCTATCAAGGACTGCATCGCGAAGATGAAGGCGTATGCTCCGACGTATCGTGTGGCGTTCGTCAAGTCAGACAGCGCTGCAGAGTACAGAGGTGGTGGGTTTGCTGCCTATTGTGAGAAGAGCGATTTGTACAAAAGTTCTCGACTCCGTACAGTCCACAGCAGAATGAGAAGATCGAGCGTGGCAATCGCGTAATTGTCGAGATGGCTCGGTCCATGATGCTTGGAGCCAACTTGCCAACTGTGTACTGGGCTGACGCAGTCGTGTGCGCTGGGTATGTGCGGAATGGCTGTCCAACGAAAGTGCTTGATGGGAAGACGCCGATGGAGGCCTTGTTTGGGAAAGCACCTGACATCAGCAACTTGCGAGTCTTTGGATGTAAGGCGCAAGCACTGGTTCCGAAGGAGCACCGTAAGAAGCTGGACTCCAAGACACGCAACGGCATCTTCATCGGGTATGCTACAGGTGGCGCGTACTTGGTGTACATTCCGCACCATGGGACTGGTGAAACAATCACGGCGCGCACCGTTGTGTTCCACGAAGACCAGTTCCTTCCTGCCGAAGATGGAGACGAGATCACGATAAGCTCGCAGCTGGATCTCTTGCAGTTGGATGCGGTTAACAGCATGCTTTCATCACGTCTCGAGACAGTTGAAGAAGAAAATCAAGATGTGTCCATGGCCCTGACACCCGGTGAGGAGGACGTGGCAATGGCGCCGACACCGAGCGCAGTAAGCAGCGATTTGGAAACAGCGGATCAACCAACGAGTGGGAGTTCTTAACCAGTGGGAGCCGCTCGTATGCAAGCCCGGCTTCGAGGAGATCCACGTCTAGAGAATGCAAAGAATCCTGTTCGCAAGTCCAGCAGGATCCCGAGGCCAAGTCAGCACAAGCTGGACTACGACGAGTCGCACTTGTCCATGGAGGAGGTCTGCGCGATGGTTGAAGAGCGTCATTTTCCTGCAGCAGTTGATGGTACGAGTGTTCGAGACGGCTACATCTACAGCAAGCTAACACCAAGTGACATTACGAATTGAGCACTGGGTGTTGCGCCGCTCAACATTGAAGAAGTCAACGCGTCTGATGATCGAAGCGAGTGAGAGCGTGCAATGGACGACGAGATCGAGGGTCTTCCGGACAATGGGACGTTCGAAGAAGTACCATTGCCTCCAGGCCGTACTGCTGTGAAGTCAAAATGGGTGTTCAAAAAGAAAACTCTTGCGGATGGCACCTTGGACAAGTACAAAGCACGTGTTGACGCTAAGGGGTACAGCCAGCGGTTCGGAGTGGACTACACTGAGACGTTCAGCCCGGTCGTGCGCCACAGCACTCCTCGGCTTGTGCTGGTCACTATGGTGGCGAGATTGGAGCTGCAGTGGTCACCAAGTGATGACGAAGTGACTATCGGGCAGCAGAAGTATGCGAAGTCGATCCTCGAGCGGCCCAACATGGATAAAACGATGCCAGCACGCACTCCGATGGAGAAAAGTTTTCGTGATCAACTCTTCAAGGCGCAGGAGGTGATCAACTTTCGTCCCCGTCCTGCCATCGGAACGCTGCTATATCTGAAGGTAAACACGAGACCGGATATAGCTACTGCGGTGCGGATTCTTGCTCAAGAGATCGAGACTCCGACCGACTGCCTCAAGCACGGTGTGGAGCACGTCATTCGGTACCTGCGCAACACTCAAGATTTTGGGCCGGAATTACAAGAGCAGTGCTGCAAAAGGACTCGTTGTATACTGCGACGCTGCATTCGCAGTGGGGCGGCAATGCTAAGTCGGCGACGGGGTACGCTATCTTCTACAACGGCTGCCTGATCAAGTGGGGATCGAAGAAGCAGTCGATGATGACGCTGTCTTCCATCGAGGCTGAGTACATTGCGATGGGGGGCGGTGTCGTGTATTGGGACCAACTTGGTCTTGAAGGATTTGGGACTGGAAGTTGACCAGATCACTGTGTTCGAAGACAACCAAGGGGCCCGACACTTGGCGGAGAGCAAGGCTGTGACGCAACGCTCGCGCCACATCGACACGAAGTATCACTGGCTTCGTGAGAAGGCGAAGGAGGACCACATTCGCATTAAGTACTGCCCCACTGCGGAGATGATCGCTGACCACTTCACCAAGGCTCTGGAAGCAACCAAGTTCCAGTACTTTCGTGACCGTCTCGCCATTCGTCGAGTGGGAGTGTTGGAGCGTCAACGTCGTTGACATCGACGAACAGATCTAATGTCATCAGGGAGAATCGGATACGTACTACTTGTTGGCCCACTGCGTGAAGTGGACACAGGTCACAGTGCGATGAACACGGGCGACAGAGTGGCTCCAGCACTAGCGACATCAACGGGAGCGACGTGGGTATTTCGACGTGAGCGATGAGAAGGCTTGGGCAGGCGGCTCGGGCAAAGGGGGCGGCCCATCTGCATGTAGTGTCAGTTAGGTTTGCATTTTAAGGACCCACCAGCTCAATCACTTTCCATAACACCACGACGGGCACAAGCGCCTTTCCGCTTCTCCGCAACCCTCCTTCCACCAAGTGTCAACTTCG